ATATATCTAAAGTCAGATTGTTTAACTGCACACCCAGGTTCTATGTGACCTTAGTAAAGTTACTTAGCTTCTCTGTGCTTCAATGTTCTCATCTGTAAAATAGGGCGAATAAAAAATAGCTGCTTCATGGACGTTTGGCAGATTATTCAAGAAAATAATGTAAAACACTTAGAGTACTGCTTAAACTATAATAAGTAGTCAGTAAAGGCTGCTTCTGTTAAATATACCTGGCATTACATTTGGAGCAGCAGTTTTATGAAATCCTTTTTTCAAGTAGCAACTAACTATATTTTGAAAAATATATTTAAATATATTGACATATATGTTCACTTGCAGGAAACAAATCACCTTATAATGTCAACAGAAACATAAGGGAAACTAAGAGAAAAATTAGAAAAATAAGCATTCCTCAGGTCTATGTAGGATTCTGGTTATATTAAAACATATAGCAGATAACATTGAATTTCTATCCATCTTCCTGAGGTGAGACTTCACGTAAGAGTGGGAACGTCTGTTTGCAAAGTGTCCTTGCTTATCACATTGGTGGTGCGTACGTGGAGCTCTCAGGTACATTTTAGACTGTGAGTTTAGATGTGAGACTACCAGTATGAATTGTCTACTTCCTTTAGGAGTAATTTTACATAAGGAATTTATTGAGGGCATTAGAGATGACTTTTTGCCCGGCTTATGATCTCAAGCTTTTTACTGAATTATTTATTATCACATTGTGTTACCTATTTTGCTTCTCGATAGATCATTTTACACCACAATATTGCTGCTGCCTGAGGGGGAAAAAATGTCTCTTCAACAGACCAAATGACTTCTAGAAAGGGTAATTTGATTCTGAAGCCAGGTTTTTGACTTGCCCTGGTTTTAATAAGAAATTTTTGGGCCAGGCGCGGTGGCTCACGCCTGTAATCCCACCACTTTGGGAGGCCGAGGCGGGTGGATCACGAGGTCAAGAGATCGAGACCATCTTGGTCAACATGGTGAAACCCCGTCTCTACTAAAAATACAAAAAATCAGCTGGGCATGGTGGCGCATGCCTGTAATCCCAGCTACTCAGGAGGCTGAGGCAGGAGAATTGCCTGAACCCAGGAGGCAGAGGTTGCGGTGAGCCGAGATCGCGCCATTGCACTCCAGCCTGGGTAACGAGCGAAACTCCGTCTCAAAAAAAAAAAAAAAAAAAAAAAA